ATGTGAAAAAATGTTCGGTCTACCACCGTGTTCAATATCAAGTTTTTCTGATCAAAAACGGCCAAGAAATAGCAAAAAGACAATGAAAATTTCAAAGAGTGCCTCTAATTACCCCGAAGTACTCTATGTATGTATCATAAAACATTGAAAAATCATTCTAAAATCACTCTAGCATAAAGTACTAAAAACGACCTAAAAACAGTCCGTTAATGGCCAGTTGATGGCGAATTTCTTTGTGAATAATAAGTGATTTGAAAACGTTCAGCAAACGATCAGTAAACGGTGACCGTTTGCTACAAAATATCCTCTTATTATGATAAAGCAAATAACCATTATTACTACTTGAATACCCAAATTTGACAGAAAGTACATAATCTTATGTTTTTGGATTTCATCTGTATGTGTTTACTTTTCGCTAGTGCTAAAAACTGCACATTTAGTACCAAATAAATAAACTTTCCCGATTAAAAAATTGTACCGTAAACACTTTTGCACAGAGTTCCAGGTAAGTCTTAACTAATCGAAATATTTCCATTTGTGGATAAACGTGTATAGAAAAGAACTGCATTTGAAATTACACGTAGATTAATGTGAAGTGCTATCTTTTATAATAAAATCCGTTCTAGACATTCTGACACGTGTTCGCAAGTGAAAATTTTTTACGAAGATATTGACACGAAAAATCCACGCGCGGTCACTACACGGTCTTCGAGTTTCATTAGTGGTCACACGGCAGAAACGTCGCACATATGTTTTCGTGAACTGTTCACGTCTGGTCACAGGCGAATAACTTTTTCATGCGTGGTCACATATCACTTCACTTGTGACAACGTGCGAAAAATGTGATGGAAAAAACTTTCGTGCACAGTTCACGACTGATTACAAGTGGATTATCTTTTCACGAGTGGCAACACACCATTTACGATGTTCATCTGCGCTCACATTCCGCTTCACGACCTTCACGGGTGTAAACGCCGCGGTATCTGCTAAAATTTCCCCATGGGTAGTCCTCATTTAAAAAACTTGTACCTCAGTCAAAAATAATCGCAGAAAAGTCATTCATGCATTGCTCGATAGCCAATGGTCTGTTGTTATGGTTTCATGAAAAAAGTTTTAAAAAAAACGTCTTTTTAAGACAATAATTTATAATTAATCAATGCTTATAAATACTAATTAATATCATTCTGGTGTCTTACTCTTTTATTCGCAAATTAACGGTTTACTGGAAACGGTAAAGCAATACGTCACTTGACAGAGATTTCCAAGCGCTACAAATTACTGTATTTGCCTTTTCGAAATGTTACTGATAAGCAGTTATTTGTACTCGATTTTAGGTAAACGGGGTTTCTACTACCGATTTCTGAATAGAGCGACCATGGATTTTTCTAGAATAACTCGAGAATGAAAAGAGATAGAGAGTTCGAGTTTTCAGCATTTTATAGAGACGACTTTACTATATTTTCACATATGCTTTGCCTTAAAAATCTCGGTTTTTTAGATAGTGTATCTGACGAATGAAAAGCGATGAGGTTACCAAATTCTGAACCTGAGGTAGATTTTTAATTTCAACATAGTGACTAGATACCCGAAATTCGTTACCATTTCGTCGGATAAAATGTCTGCCATAGAAAAATTAAATTTAAATACTTTTAAATGTTAAGCTTTGACTACTATCATGTATTGTAGGTGTATAGATTTAAACCAATCATTTATAATTAAGATGTAACGATAAAGAATTATTCGTATGATATAACGGTAAAGTTTTGTTATCCTTGCATTCGCATTTTTTAATATATTGAATTGGGTACATGTTTAAGCAAAATTTATTTTTTTTAGTTTTTCCACTTAACTTGATGGCATGTTAAAATGATAACAACTTTATTCATGGTATACGGTACACATACATGTACAGCCAAAGTGGGATTGAGAAATAACACGGTAAACCTTTTTTTTTCTTTTCATTTTTCTTCTTCACCTTCTTCTAATGGTAATAGTAAAATACACAAAACTTCGTTTTTCTAATTCGTTGTGCATTTAGATGAGATATGGACGAAAATAATATCGATGCCGTAGGATTTTATAGACCCCCGCGGTTCGGACTCCTATGAATTCATAAACGTCCAAATTTTTCTCTGTAACGGGTCCTTCAGAAGAAATTGCTCTCATGGTATTTTTATCTTTTTTCCGTTCTCTTCCATCGATTTGACCTACTTCTTTCTTCAAAAGCTGCGCCGTGAAATTCTACACAAAATCTAACCTAAATTATAATTTCAGAACTTTAATCAAGAAAGCTAAGCCAATAAGATGAAAGTTGAAAAAAAATTAACCCTTCCAAAGTCAAAAGTAATTTTTCGTGTTAACGTTTCGAAAGTTAGAGAAATTGAATTACCCGTTTTGTAGCCCTGACTTTGCTCTATCTTTTAACTACACTTCAAATTTTTTCACGTCAAAAGTCACGGCGAAATAACACTTTTTCTGTCCATTGTCATACATTTTTTCATTAATTTTTTAAATATTGGGTATAGTAGTGCTTTCTGTTAAAGTACCATAACTCCATCAGCTTTTTCGATCGGGTTTGTTTTGTTTTGACCAGAAATGATTGCTCTTGTTTATCGAACTGCAAAACCAATGATCTTTTCCGTGTCTTGCATGAGCACATTGTAGGAAACGGGGAGGTTCTCAACTTTTGACGTGTTTTTGCAAACTCGTTCTCTAGCACGCAATCTGTTCTAAAAAAAATGTTTTACGGAACACGAGAAAGAGCACATTTGAAAGTACCAAATATAAACTGAGTTCTCACTTTTGCTACACAATTTAGCGGAAATAGTAGCAGAAGAAAAAGCTCAAATCGAAAAAAACTTTCAGTTTGGAAAGTTTTTAGTTTTTTCAACTTTCATCTAATTGGATTAACTTTCAATGTGTGATTACTTTCAAATGTGCTCAATAAACCTTTTTTGATAGTTTATTAATCTACGACTATTTTTTAGAGTGTACGCAGGCTTAGAATTCATTTTAATGAAAACTAAACCTGCGTAACATGATTATATTTTTTATCATTTATTTATGATTTAACATAAAATATTAAGTTTTAAAAAACTTTACTACTGTCCGTTTAAAAAAAGGATGACCCATTTTTGTGATTGGTGAGAGCTAGAGAGCTGGGGTTTGCAGATATGGAAAGAAGAGATCATAGAGCACCTTTTCACCAGAGGAAATACGTTTAGAAAATTTTTTGAAAACCGGTTTTTCGGGACGGAAATCGGGGCTCTCGGGAAAATCTCTCTCCCGACCAAAGCAAACATTTTCGCATAATTCTTCTATTATGCATGAGTTTTCCAAAAACCCCTTAAAAAACCGGTTTTCAAAAAATTTTCTAAACGTATTTCCTCTGGTGAAAAGGTGCTCTATGTCTTTCCATATCTGCAAACCCCAGCTCTCTAGCTCTCACCAATCAAAAATTATTCAAGAAATGGCAATGGGTCATTCTTTTTTTAAACGGACGATATGTTATGTTGTACGCTGTAAAGAAAAACACCATTAAACATTTGCAAAAGACGAAACATAATTAAATGTGTCATAGCAATAATTGTGCGTCATTGTAAAGAAATATCCATACATTATGAATCTGATGTCGCCAGAGATGAAAATAACATCAAAAATTGCTTGATGAAAACAATGAACGTCTATACTGAGAGGAAATCATCGGAATCTTTGATATATATACATAATGTTGCTCTTCACAAATGAGATGGAAGAAATAACAGAGTGCGTTTGCAGAAAGCTTCTGGATGTTATCTTAGTTTTTTTTCGTTTGGACAGACACACTTTGTTTCCTGCTAGTTCTTCGTTGTAGTTAGTAGTCATAAAATGCGAGATGCAGAACGGAAGAAAGATAGTACAGAAATCGTTCTATTTGTGCAGTTATCATATGCAATAACAGAAACATTCTATTTGTTGTTGTTATAGTGATACTGTCTTCTCTAGATTATTTTCTCCTACATAGAATGACGAAGAATTATAGTATATTTTGTCGTATTATAGAAATGATGGAAAAACCCATTCGTCATTTCTTTCATCTAATTTTTGAAGAGCAACAGTATGTATATATATTATAGATTTTGATGATTTTTCTCACAGTGTACTGTATTTGCTCGTTAATTATCTTGTACGAGAACTAAAAGTGAGTAATCAGAACCTCATTACTTTCGATAAAGAAGGGTCTTGACATTGCTAATACAATTTCAGAGAAATCTAGTCCTATCAATACTATGAATAAACGCTCATTGTTCTTTTTTTTTGCATCGATCCTTCAGAGATTGTTCAGCAGATTGATATAATCACACAATCATATGCGTAGTAGTAGTAGACTAAGCGACAGAGCGAATAATATATATGCGATAGTACAAACTAAAATCTAGAAAAATTCTAAATTTTCCTAGGTTTTCGGCTGTACTCCCATATGTATATGAAATTGTACATTCGCGGCTGAATATATGGTTTTTCAACACCAAACCAATAACCCATATTCAACAATGATTTCTAGTTTGATATCGTTTCGACTAATGCACCCAAATAAACTCTTTCTCGCGGACGGACATCACTTATATTTCTGTTGTTCTAGCACACGATGATCACAAAAATTAGTTTCATCATATCGATATTCATAGGTCTTATATTTCCATCTACGACTAAACCAGTAGATAGTGAAGATGATGCGTTGGATTATCTTAAGCGATTTGGTTACAGTTCGTGCAATGCTTCATTGTCTGTTCAGTGTAGTGAAAACTTTGCGTCGATGCTCATAGAATTTCAACGTTATTTCGGATTGAATATGACCGGTGTTGTTGATAAAGAAACACAGGCTATTATGAATTTGCCACGATGTTCAGTGGTAGATAAGTCAAATGAAAACATATTGCAGGGAATCAGCAATAAAAAATGGTCTCGTCTCTCTCTAACCTATCGTTTTGAATCGTACGCCCATTTTCATCAAATAAGTTATGCAAATCAGATTATACACGCCATTGACGTTTGAAATGGTCTGTAACACATGTTTATCAGATATTGTACTGCAGTTTGTGGAAGGCGATCATGGCGATGGTGCACCATTTGACGAGAAAACATTAGCGCACGCGTTTCTGCCAACTGACGGTAGAATCCATCTCGATTCCCAAGACACATGGACAGAATTGTGCGTAGAATTAATATGTTTTATGGTCCTTTTACTTACTATTTCTTCCTTTCTATTTAGGTATAATTCGACATCAAAAACGGTAATTAATCTATTTCTTGTCACTATGCATGAAATAGGTCACGCGTTAGGTCTTGAACATGTAAAAAATAGACAGTCGATCATGTTCCCGACTTATCAGCTGAAACAACGATCTGACGTCCTAACATCCATTGATCAACAATCGATACAAGCTCTTTATGGAAAAAAGGCTGAGGCAGACTGTATGTTTTTGTAGTCCTATCTGTATAGTTAAAGACAAAATTTTTTTTCATAGCTGGGAATGATATTCGGCACGGACAAGTGTTTGGAAATCCACTCAGAGGGGTACAATTTAATACAGTCACCGAATCTGTCGCTTTGATTAACAGTCATCGGCTATACGAAATTAGCGTTCAATGTCAGGAAGGTTTACTACAATCGATCCGGATGTACTACTCGGATCCGCCAACTTTGACATCGACACATCGCGGTACATTCATTTCGTTGTGTGACACAAACACTTTTACACTGAACAAAAACGAAGAGATCTCTATCGTTCAAGTGAAAACTGGTATACATTATGGAATAAAACTTATTCTTGGCATTCAGTTTACTACGAGCAATGGAAGGACGAGTGGACAGATGTGTGGAACGAACATTACGGGTACTACGTCTACTGAAAAATTTGATGGCCACGTATTAAAATATATTAGTGGACGATCGGGTGATCTCATCGATTCACTTCAATTCCATTGGCGGAAAAAAAACGTTTATATTAGTAATAAAACTAGAGTCGGATGATCTTTATTGGTGCTAATTCGACATGTCACCTTTTAGCTCCAACAACGACAACAAAGAATCAGACAACTCGTAAGTTATATCTTTTTAAAACAAGCGTTAATAGGGAGGAAAACGTTCTACAAGGTTAGCACAGTGAAAACTCTTGCGAGATGCAGTGAGAAAAACGCCTTTCTGCTGTATGTGAATACAAACCTTGCAGGATTCTGCAGAAAAAAATCCGAACAACGAAAACGAATTTCGAAAAAGCTCTATATACTTTTAAAGCGGGCGTGTTGGCCGATCTGGCGGTGTGTGAATCATCGATATAGCGCTTCACCCAAAAAACTAGATAGATTTACAAAATCACCTAGTACCGTTTTGAGAGGTATGATCTTGGCTGCCAAATTCCAAAAGACTATTGCTTTCGTATTCGATTCAATATCATTTTTAGAACCAGTTTTGGATGCTATATTAGAAAAGAATAGTTTGAAAACTTGAAAAGAACCTTCCCTAGACAAGAATTTTTTGCTAAAACTGATAGGATTCTTGTAAGAATCTTATCAGTTTCTTATATAAGATTGTTTAAGATTTCCCATCGACAGTCGTAAGTGTCTTATAAGAATCTTGTAAGATTTTCATAAGAGACTCGTAAGAAAAACATAAGAAGGACCAAAAATTCTTATGTTGTTAATATGTACTAGAAGGCATCTTATGAGTTGGCTTTTACGATTTCTGTTATGATTAAGTTACTTCTATTTGCTCTCAAATCTTTTGGGCTAGTAAGTGGCCGTAACGGTCATTTATTCTGATGACTTGTGAGTCGTATTCACAGAACTGTTATTTTTAAAAATGTAAAACTTTTACTAGGATGTATTAACTAGTTAATCGGGCAATATTTTTACGCGTAACTTACATTCCTATCTAAAATAATTTGATATAATAACGCAAACAGAGTAAGCACTTATAGCCTGATGGTTAAGATCGGGCAGCTGAATGGAAGATTACGAGCTCGATCCTCGTTAAGTGCGATTTATCTTTTTATGAACCTCGTATGAAAATCTTATCTAATTCTTATAAGACACTTACGACTGTCGATGGAAAATCTTAAACAATCTTATATAAGAACCTGATAAGATTCTTATAAGAATCTTATAAGATACTGATAAGAGACTTATAGGTTTCTGGTAAGATTCTTATATAAGAATCGATCTCTAGGGTTATAGGAAGAAATTCGAGTGACTTGAAAAACAGAGACTTTTTTCGAAAAATCAGATTCTTCAAGTTTTCAAGGCTTTTCGACCTGAAAAAATGTTTTGAAAAGCTAAAACCAACTTTTTCCTACTCAGTTCGATGCGCTCTTTCGAATGGTGTATGATTTAGTCGAAAGCAAGATAGTGCTCACCTTTTGAATTTCCCGCATCTTAATTATTATCGCATGTTTTTGTACGCGTTTTAATGCCTTTTTTTTTCTGCCTAACTATGTTACTTAGAGCCGATTTTCTCTTGACTCCGCTTAACGGTTTTTTTTATGGCAGATATACACGTCTGATTGCTCAGATCAAAGAATCTGTAACGAGAAAATAATAAAATCGTTTCGGATGTTTTTCAGAGTAATTTAAAATGAAAAAATAAGCTTTTGTTAACATAGAGGGACATCTAGTCTACATATCTGCCAAAACCCGACAGATCTACTGGGATCGTTCGCACAGAAGCGGGCCTTTCCTGCAGAATCAGTTTTCCTTGATATTTAGAAATTCGAAAACGCATGGGAACATAGGTTATAGACCACACTGAATCTCTGACATATACCCCATTTTATCTGTGCTGCGCCATAAACTTCAATAACAGTTTCAAAAACCGAAGAGAAAGTACTTTAGTTTCTAAAATGCTTTCTAGAAAGCTTTTTTAATTTTCAGTGAAAATAGATTACTTCGTCTAGTATAGGTTTTCACTATTTTTTTAAAGCTTTCTATAAAAACAAATATTTCCATGAGATTCAGAGTGATTAATAACCTATGTTTGTATGCGTTTTCAAAGCACGGGGTTGATAAGAGGCAACATCGGCTCCCTCACTGATCAAACTTATATCAACTGATCTGATGTAGTTTTTGTCCACGATTAAACCCAACATATTTGTAAACCTTAAAAATCCTCTTCAGTGCCTTCTGGAAAGATTTTAGCAAACAAAACTTTACTTTCATTAAACGAACTTTACTCAGAGTATTTTCATTATTGCATTGCTTTCACTTAGAGGAAGCCTCAACTATCATATACCGTTTGATACAGAATTCAAGGACTACAAACTGCTATATAAAATATTCAGAACAAAATGGGACTGGGTAAGCTAACATCAAAAATACTCTTGAGCATCTCAGCCAACCGGTAGGTCAATATCATTCATGTTTTATCATATCCATTTATTTTCCTATTAACTACTCCACTTTACATACTATTCGATAGAGAATTTCTCGGGCTACAACATGAGCTGTAACAAATTATTTTAAAAGTTTGCTTTCAAAAATGTATTGAATAAATACTTGACAGATATCTCGATTTTGTTCCTGTATCAGGTACACTGCAATAGACCTCATTGGTAGAATTGATTTTTACATGGGAAGATGCTGTCAGATTCTGGTTACAATACACTGGAAGCCGCAGGTCTTCATCTTGTTTCGTTAAAAAGTTCAGAGAATAGACCACGGCCACTATCCACTTGGACAGATAATAAGTACGAAACCCTTTGCTTTCTATAAAACTATATATCGAAAAGTAAAAACGTTTGCAAATACAGATTCTTTTTCAACTGCGGTTAGCTCTATATATATTTACAAAAAGCACGAAGCCACTAAAATAAAGGAAAGAAAGGAAAACGATCTTCTTTTCTGTGTGTAAAATGTAGAATACTTATATTATAGAGAACGAAAACATTGTTCATTTGAGTTGTATATGATCTTGCCTTGCTAATAATACACTTTCGCAGAAAAAATATAAAGGCACGGATAGATCGATATTGTTGAATTTTGGTAAATTTGATCGTACAGCCAAGGACTCTTTGTCTAAAATCCAGTAACATATCACCGGAACAAAAAAAATAAAGTTGGTTTAGAGTTGCTGAAAAACGATTTTTCGTATTCATCACACTCGATAATCCAGAAGATCTTTGGCCGGGGGTACTTCCGAAAGTTTAAGAAAAATTTTGAAACAAAATGGCGCTAAAAGTTTTCCATGGAAAAATAATATTAATTTGAAAAATTTTCCTAAACTTTCGGAAGTACCTCGGACCCAAAACAGAAAATCTTCTGGGTTATCGAGTGTGCTGAGTACGAAAAATCACTTTTCAGTAACTCTAAACCAACTTTATTTTTTTTTCCGGTGATATGTTTTAATTATGTCACCCCAAAATTATTATGAAAATAGTTTTACGATGAAAACTATTCAAGAAAGCTATTAGTGATCAACTATTTTGCTTTTTCTTTCCATCGTTACTTATCTACTCTCAATTCGGTTCCACCTTTAAGAACTTTAACCTCTACTACGGTAGCTGTCGCAGTTTTATGTTTTTGGCCGCCGACATTTTTTGTATGACCCTAGACTTTCAGTCCAGGTAACATCATTGGCAGTTTTCTTTTTTCTTTAGATTTCTGCACTCCGTTTTGGACAATGCCCTCTGGCGAAATTGGTATTTATCGAACTTATCGAAATGCCAATACTCTTATTAGTGGTGATAGTAGTCGCAGTGCTTGCACGTCATTTAATGCAACTAAATATAATGATAATAATATAGTATTTTCAATCGGTTCCCGACTTACAACCTGGAGTGGTGGTGAGAATATGAATTTTGCATTAGCTATCCGGAATGGCACACATGTTGATGTATTCGGTATGCAAGGAAAGTATGATAATCGCTTTATTAACGTGGGACCTATGAATGCTACCTGTGCTAGTTGAAATAGCCGTACAGTTACTAATATTGATGCCAAAATCTTGACTTTGTTGGGACCGTTCGGCGAAGGATTTGGTTATCACTAATATTGGTTGCGTGATCATCTTCAGTTTTTCTTTATAATCACTTATCAGCTGTTGTTTAATTTCTTCCTTATCATTTGACTGAGACAGCGCAGTTGTTAATACCATTTCGAATAATGCTGTAACTGCTGGTAAAAAATCCATAATTACTTTTCCTAGTCCATTCATTCTATTATCAATCTTTTCATTTAATTTTACCATTTCACTACGAATAAATAAAGGTAAATCATTCGAGTTCTGTTGATTATCTTTATTCTTATCTTTCGCCCAAGGTGCTGGAGCTGATGATATGATATTTCCATTTAAGTGAGGGTATTCATTAATATCTCTGGAAGGGGCGGTGGTTCTGTTGTTCACCAACGTTGCTTGTAACTTTCCTTCATTTATAGCCTGTTTAACTGCAACATTTAATTTATCCCGATGGTTTTGATTAATCAGACATTCTGGAGCTGTTGATAGG